TTCCAATCCAGGCAGTTCTGGGATTCTGTTTGCAGCAGAGCTCTCTGCCCTTCAGCTGATAACATGTTTACTTTGTTTTTAAGGTGATGCACTCGTGACTTGCCACAGACACTACAGGTCCCGTCCTACACATGGTATTGGGAGGTTTAAATACCTGCTCCCAAAGGAGGTAGGCATAAGAACTCCCCTACTGTGCTTCCTTTCAGCTGACCCATCTTTTTCCAGTCCAATTTAAATGTTGGTATTATTAATATATTATTAAGGAATAGCGTAATGGTTTGCAGCTACTTTTCTTGGTAGAGGGTGTTATGTCCCATGAAGAACCCACTCACAACACTGTGTAAATACTTTCTTTTGACCAATATATTCTTAATTAAGTTAATTAGTAGTTTAGGGAGGGAGGAATCTCTTCCTGATCATGAATTTAACACCCCAACTTCAAATTATTGCAGAATATTGTGAGCAGGTCTTAATTTGCACTTTAAACTGTTTTACATTCCCTGAAATGTGGAAAGATGACAATTTTTGATGGAAGGAGGAGACAATAACTCATCTAGACAGCTGTCTCGAAGGCAGGAACTGAAATAAAAAGCAGTTTGTTTTCTACTCCTTGATTTCTTCTGGAAGAAATTAATCATGGTGTGCATGTATTTTCTGTGTCACTTCTGTGCTGCTGCCATCCAAGGACTGAACTGCTCAACTCGACAACATCTGTTGAGATAATGTCATCCCAGTTTTGTCGTCGGGGAAAGTGAGCACAGATGGGCTGTGATATGTTCGACAGTTCAATAAACCTTTGTCAGAGGAGAGTATCTCAGCGTGGTCTCCTGTGTCAGCAAGAGTTAATGGTTTTTTATTTCCAGGTTTGTTCAAAACAGATATCCTTTCTATTTTTTTTTTTTTTTTTAAATTATATAGGCTCCAAAGAAGAAAAAGGATAAAGTACAGATGAAAGAGATAAACGTTGGAACCGAATATGAGTATGGCGATATCAACATCCAGATGACTTCTTACGATATGTGTCTCGTGGAGCGCTTTGCTCAGTACGTGCATAAACTCTGCAACCGACTCTCCGTTAGAGTGAATGAGAGGTAGGAGGAACACGGCTCTGTCACCTTGTGTTACACCACCTGAGGCTCAAAGATGATGATAAGATATAAGATGACAATAAGATATAAGATCTCCGGGGAGATCTTATAGGGGCCTCCCAGTACCTGAAGGGGCTACAAGAAAGCTGGGGAGGGACTTTTCATAAGGGCAGTTAATGACAAAACAAGGGGCAATGGGTTTAAGCTGAAAGAGGGGAGGTTTAGATGAGATATTAGGAAGAAGTTCTTCACTGTGAGGGTGGTCAGACACTGGAACAGGTTGTCCAGAGAAGCTGTGGCTGCTCCTCCCTGGAAGTGTTGAAGGCCAGGTTGGATGAGGCTTTGAGCAACCTGGTCTAGTGGAAGGTGTCCCTGCTGCTGGCAGGGGGGTTGGGACTGGATGAGCTTTAAGGTCCCTTCCAACCCAAACCATTCCATGATTCTATAAGGTAAAACGTGGGCAGCAGGATGTGGCCTGTTGTTATTGCTGCTGTGCAAATGGAGATGGAGAGGCTGAGGTCTCTGGAGTAACACAAAGCGGAGAGCAGACTCTGAACCTGTGCCTGATCCTACTCCTGTTAAATTCAGAGGTGAAAATAATTCATCTTTTTGAGTGGTGCATTGCTGCAATGGTTTCTAGCTCGGTTCCTAATGAACAAATTATAAAATAAGTCAGAATTGTTGCCTTAAAGCTCTCCTTCAGTTTATAAAGACGTGAGAAGTTCTCTCCTCAGGCTGGTGTTTGTAGTTGAAGCAGGTTTTTGCTGGCAGAGCAGCTGCAAGCTTCTCCCTTATCTCTTTCCAGTAAAACACCCGCCTTCTGCCAGCGCTTGATTTGCAAGATACATTGTTTGCATAATTAATTTCTCATGAAAACTTAATCTCCTTCCACATTCTCTGCTGCTGGGGGGGGTTGATTCATTCCTGTAAAGTCGTAGAAATCTCTCCTCCCTGTCCTAAGCACTGACCTGTGGTTCCTGCAGCTACGCGATGCCCACCAAAACCAACGAAATCCTCTTCTTGGAAGAGAGAGGTTCCAAAATGCAGCTGGATGCGGTTCTCACTACTCATCAGAGGGTTGTCCAGGTAGGAGCTGCTGTTTGCTGATAGCACTTCGGCTCTTGTGCAGCACCTTCCTATCTCAAGCTCTCAAAAAAACCTCTTAACCATTGGAGTGAAGTCCCTTGAACAAAGAAAAGGTGTAAATGGAAGCACAAAGAAGTCTAATTAGATTTCTCGCTAAATGTTACTCACAAAGTAGAAGCAGAGGAGAGGTTACTGTGTTCTGTATTTCAGCTAGAAGATTTATTATCTATTTTATGCAGAATAATGGGTAGAAAAGTCAGGTTTAAGGATGAATAATTAGACAAACTCGATGAAATTTAAAAATGCTGTTAGTATCTGTCCTGGTTTTTAGCTGGGACAGA